CGGCGGGCTCGATGGTGGGCTCGGTGCCGGGCTTCGGTGGCGGGCTCGGTGGCGGTCTTGGCGGCGGGCTCGATGGTGGGCTCGGTGCCGGGCTTGGCGGCAGTGGGGACGGAGGCGTCAGAGGAGCCAGACGCGGAAAGTTCGTCAGCAGGCCGACGCCTTCCGTTCCAATAAATTCCCGTTTTTGAGTGATTAAGGCATCTTGAGTTCACGTGACGGAGTTGGTCTAACGTGCTGGATTAAGGCTCCAGTCTCCTCGGAGGCGCGCGTTCGAATCGCGTCGTGGATATCCCTTTTGCACCTTGCTTTTCATATCCCTTTTGCATTTTGCTTTTTGTCCCGCATCTCTTTAGGATCTTCCTTTTGTCTCGCGAGTCGCGAGTAGCAGATCAAGGGGCCATATCCCTCTGCGCGGCTTGCGCAAGACGCTAGCAACGCGAGGCTACGTTACGGCCTGACCGGTAAGATTGTGCATGTGAGGCCATCGCACCCTTCCCCCTGTCCCTCTCACGTTTACATGGAATATGTATAGCACGATGCAAAATCCTGCATCCGAGTAGCAGACCGAATTTCCCATTGAGATGTGGCGGTTCATAAAGTGGCGATTGCATGTCGAGCACACCGCGAGTTCACTTGGTCTAACGTGCTGGATTAAGGCTCCAGTCTCCTCGGAGGCGTGCGAATCGCGTCGTAGATATTTTCTGCCTTTTGCGTCTTCTCGCCATTGCCTTTTGCGTCTTCTCGCCTCGGGGTATGCTGCGCGGCCCAGTTTCGGCAGGCATGGCATACCTGCCTTGTACACCGCGTTGGCTTGGCCGACCCGTTGAAAACCGAGCCCATTTACGTCTTCTGCCTCGTTTGTCCCGCGCCTGGGCTTCTGCACGCCACGGCATGCCTGCCCAACATGGGCTGCCTTCCAGCCCGACCTAACCAAGGGACATTTTTTTTAAACGCTTCATAACTAACATCGCCGAGTCAGCAGTCTACCTGCGCTTGCTGCGCTCTGCTCTCGGCCTCGGCTGCTCTCTCTGCGCTTGCTCTGCGTTGCGCTCTGCGCTCTTGATCACCCGCGCGCTTCTCTCGGCCGGGATGGCGACGCAGACGGAGACGATCGAGACGCTCCACGAGGACCTGATTGTGCGCGCCCGTGGCATGCGACCCTCCTTAGCGCGCGCGCGTCGCGCCCGGCGCCGCGCTGCCCAGCTCGTCGCTTCGGGGCAGGGGCTGGCCCACATTGACGCCACCTTCCCCCCCGCATGCCGCCGCCGCCGCGCAGCACGACGCGCAGCTCGATTACTACGGCAAGAAGCTGGCGACGTGCTCGTCGGACCGCACGATCCGCGTGTATGATGTGCAGGAGGGCACGGGCGAGCGCGTGCAGGTCGCCGAGCTGAAGGGCCACGAGGGCCCCGTGTGGCAGCTCGCGTGGGCGCACCCGCAGTTTGGCACGCTGCTCGCCTCCTGCTCGTACGACCGCAAGGTGTGCGTGTGGAAGGAGCAGGCACCCAACCACTGGGTCCGTGTCTACCTCTACGACGGCCACGACTCTTCGGTCAACGCGCTCGCGTGGGCGCCCGCAGAGCTCGGCCTCGTGCTAGCGTGCGCGTCGGCAGACACGACCGTCTCCATCCTCACACACCAGGCGGACGACTCGTGGACGGCCTCCAAGATCGCGGCGCACCAGATTGGCGTGAACGGCGTGTCGTGGGCGCCCGCGTACGAGCCCTCAGCTCTGCTCTCCTCCGCAGGTGCGCAGCCGCCGACGAGCGCGCAGCTGGTGACGGGCGGTTGCGACAACCTGGTCAAGGTCTGGCAGCACGACCCCAACACGCAGACCTGGTCTCTCGAGGCGACACTGGCCGAGCACACCGACTGGGTGCGCGACGTGGCGTGGGCACCGATCGCTTCCTCGCCCACGGCCGTCATCGCCAGCTGCTCGCAGGACGGACGCGTTCTGATCTGGTCGCGCGACGCATCCTCTGGGCAGTGGACGCAGACCGCGTTGCCGAGGTTTGAGCAGGCCGTCTGGCGCGTGTCCTGGTCACTGACCGGGGGCATCCTCGCCGTCTCCACCGGCGACAACAAAGTGCGCGCCTGCGTGCGAAGCCCTGGCGCCGCCGAGGCGAGCCTGCGCTGAGAGATAACATCCCTTCCGCCTC